AGATCTTTTAGCTTTCATTTTGGAATTTTAATCATAAGATAGTAATACAAACTCACTGGCTTATAAAAGACAGATTCAAATTACATTTCTGACAAAATTGACTTTATTTGCCCCTATAGATAATCTAATAAAGGCTATAAAGCAGTTTCCACAGCAATTTGATTGTTAAAAACCTCTTTCATCCTTTTTTCTCCTTTTTTAGTTTTAAATGAGTTTAGGGTTAAATGTTTATTTAGGGTCAGTCTTTACATTTTAGCTAAGACTGGCTTAATTGTATAAGAAAAAATCTTCAGGTAACCTTGAATCTATCATTTTGGTTTGACCAGGCAATATGGGTGGGGAAGCATTTTAAACAGGGTTCTTTTCAGGGTTTTTTTGTTTATTTTTTTTTACCCCTTTCTGGCAGACAAAGCAAAATTTTTATGCTCAACAGAGATGCCTTATACTATTGCTTTGAGCTCAAGATTTTGACCTGTTTGATCTGAGAGCCTTTTATCTAGTTCTTTTTTTTAGAATATCAGTCCTTCAATTTAACTATTCTGTCACCCTAAGCAATTGTTAATCTGGCCAACCCAAATTTGCATTTCCAAAAGATGTCTAGGTTGTTGGTTATCATGGAGCTGTTGTAATTTGTAAAGCTGCTAATTTGAAAACCTTTTAAGATTTTTAAAAATTTTTAAATCTTGGGTGGAATGCCATAAGCAGTGAGTTTTATCTCAGTACCAGTAGAAAAGTCAACAAGATTGGAAGTGGGCAGAAAAAACAAAAAGAACTTACAAGGCTCTATGTGTTAACTCTATAGTTGCAGGTTTGTTTTAGAGAGTTTGAGTAATGACCATTGAGCTCTAAATTTTCCTCGGTATAATTTTGCCCATCATTTAAAAATGTGCATAAGAACAAGCCATAATATGTAGCCAGCTAAATCCCAGAAAACCAGGCATGCCTTAATGTTTGAGAATCCCATTCCATTTCTTATTACTCTTTCCAAAGCAAAGAAAACCTATCAATCCTGTCAGAGAATGTCAGGATTTTGGACCAGTGTTTTAGATGGTGGTGGCCACTCTAAGTGGCTTTTAATTAGCCATCCTGCATCTACGATTTAGAATGTTTATTTTGCTCTCAGAAGATTTTCAGAAGCAAGGGAAAAGAGCCAAATCATTTACAAATTCGTGTAACCAAATGGAAAGAAACCTTTAAAATATTCATAAAAATGTTTAACCCAGGCATGCAGATCAAACAAAATATTAAATTAGGCACAGAGTACTCAAACTAGAAAAACACTAGTCTTTATACCAGAAAGGACTTGCCAGAAAAGACAAAATGTCTTTTATCATCCCAGGAGAAATGTAAGGTGATCTTATAACCAAACTAGATCCCAAATAAAGTAAAGAGTTTCTACCTTGGCTTTAGAGGGAAAGGGATGATCAGCCTGAGAAAAGATTCACCATGGCAGAAAAGTCTAGCCATAGAAGCAGAGAGCTCAGAGGGCTCAAGTGAGTACTACACACCAGTTCTGAGAATTGCTAACTCCATCCAAGAGTAAGCATACTCCAGGTCTGACTTCTGGACACCATTTATATCAGCCCATATAACAAACAGGCTTTCTAAAAGAAAATGATGTTAATTTGGGAATGGGATATTACAATGGGAATATGAGTGCGATAGTAAACTATGTGTATATTCAGGGAGGTAAAGGAAGACAAAAGGTGTTAGAGAAAAAATGAGGAGGATTACGTACTTGTTTTGCAATGATTATTCTTGGCTATAAGGATCAGTGGCAAAGGTGGCACCAGTTTGAGGTTAGACAGGTAGTTGCTGGGCAGATGTCCTCAGAGAAGTTTTTTCTTATGTGTGTGAGAGGTTGCAATGGCCTTTGTGCAAGGATATGGTTTTGGCATAGTCTTTTGACAGAGTTTTGTTATCTGGGATACAGGCATGAGAACCTTCTCTTCATAGTCTTCCCTGGCTTTATTTGTTAGTTTGGTTTTCTGTAATGCAAGCGACTCCATTTTGGTTCTGACAGTTTCACAGTTTAAACATTGTTTCTTAATCCGTAGGTTCTATCTTCTATCTCTCCCGCCTTTTATAATTTATTGAATAGAACTGGTTTTTTGTACTTTTGAGTTTCCCACAGTTTGGATTTTACTGGTAGAGTTGAACATGTTTTTCTATCTTCTCTATTTTCTATAAATTAGTAATTAGAGCTATAGGCTTGATCAGATTCTGGTTCTCTTCCCACCCATCCCTGCCCCTCCTCTTTTTTCTACTGTTGATGCTACAACAAGAATACTTCATAGTGTTCTGCACTTCTGTTAGGAGGCACTCACTCCCTAATTTCCTTCCATGTTTGTTTGCTCCTTTCCCTTCTTTTCCTTTCCCCTATCCTTTCCCCAGCCCCTTTGCTTTCCTCTCCCCTCCTGCCTTCCCTTCTTCCTTTCTTCCTTTCCTCCCTCCCTTCCTCCTTTTTCCCTTGCTTCCCGATTCTGTGGGCCAATGCTTCATTACTACTTTTTCATCCTACATATGGCTAAGGAAGACAGATAATATCTTGAAAATGGTCCTTCTCTTTCAAGTGGTCCTTCTCTTTCAAGTTTGTAGGGGTTTGAGGTCCTTTAACCCTTTGCACTCGGATGTCGAGTGTGACTCAACACGGTTAAGTAGAATAAAGGAATCGAGAAAAAAGCAAATGAGTGCAAAGGGTTAAGTTTTAAGACATCCTCAAGAAAATTTCTCACTTGTTTTCTCCATTTTATACCCTAGTGACTGAAGTTTCTTTCCTCTATTCTGAGGACTTTTTAAAATGTATATCCTTATCAAGAGCATTTTGTTCTCCATTCTATTCCCAAATGCCTAACAGTCCCAAGCACACAGCAGGCATTCAGTGTATTATTTAGGCTGTATCAACTGTGTCAGTTAGGTCCTGGAACACTGAATGGAATAATTGAGATTTTAACAAAGGGACCATTTCAAAGGTATATGCAGAGTTAAGGGAAACCAACAAGAGATGATAAGGTACTCAACTAGCAACAAAACCATCTGGTACTCCTAGGTTCCAGGCAAGAGAGGCAACAAACCTAGAAGGCTGTAGGAGTGGACAGCATTACTGAAGCTGCAGCCTTGGGTACAGGAATACTGCAGCCACTACTAACTGTGGCTCAGCAGGGAAAAGGGTGAAAAAATACATACACTAACCTTATTTACTCTTACCATCCTATCTGTCAGTACTTTACATCATAGAACTTAACTGGAAGCCAATCCGTAAAAGTCAGCCTCCCAGAGTTCAGAGCAAAGTGAAGCGTGGAAAATGGATCTGGAGAGGCAGATATGAAACATATAGTACAATGGATAAAAACCCTCCCTAGAGTATATCAGTTAGTACTGTGGACCCCAAACCGGGCCATGGCCTGTTAGGAACCAGTCTGTGCATCACCACCTGAGCTCTGCCTACCCTTCCCATCCCCCGTCCATGGAAAAATTGTCTTCATGAAACCGGTCCCTGGTGCCAAAAGGTGGGGACTACTAGTTAGAACATTTCCCCAGGAATCTAAACATTGTTTCACTGGGCTTGGATAGTAAGTAAGGGAGGCGGGAGATAAGAAAAAAGAGTTGAGCTAGAATATATAAAAGTAGTCCATAAATCCCTCTACCCAATCCTTTCACAGGTACTCAGTGCCTTTCAATGACTTTTATACAACTTTAGTGTTTGTTTTAACCTTATTTAAACTATATTCTAGGAAGAGGGAAGCAACATTCAGTGTGATTTGCCCAGATCCAATCTTTTAATTAAGAGATTATTCTGACAGTATTACATTAACCTGACTTAAATATAAATATCTATCTTGTTTCGAAAGTCTGAAAAAGGCATCTTATTTTTCTTAGTTTCAACTGACTTGATAATTGATTCTCAAACATACAGCTACAGAATCCAAAGAGACCCCAGAGACGTTTGATGTTGATTAACCTAGAGGATTTAAGTATGGGATTATGTCTTCAACCAATTAAAGAGATTGCTGAACCAAGAATGCATATCAGAAATCACCTGTGGGTCATACCCGCTAGAATGACTATAATAAAAAAAGACAATAACAAGTTTTAATGAGGATGTAGAAAAATTGGAACCTTCATACACTGCTGGTGGGGATGTAAAATAGATACTTTGGAAGACAGTCTGAAAATTCCTCAAATGACTAAACAGAGTTACTATATAATTCAGCATCTCTGTTCCTAGGAATATACACAAGAAAAACGAAAGCATACATCCATACAAAATTTGTATACAAATGTTCATATGAGTATTATTCATAACAGCTGCAAAGTGGAAACAACCCAAATGTCCATCAGTTGAATAATGGATAAATAAAATATATGCATTCATACAATGGAATATTATTCAGCAATAAAAAGGGATGAAGTACTGATACACATCACAACATGAATGAATCTTGAAAAATGTTAAATGAAAGGAACCAATCACAAAGACCCACAAATATGATTCAACTTATATGAAATGTTCAGAATTAGCACATTTGTAAAGAAAGTAGATTAGTGGTTGCCTAGGGAAGGGGGGAGTGTTGGGGGTGAACAGGGTTTCTTTTGGGAGTAATAAAATTGTTCTAAGACTGACTGTGGTGATGGATTCACAACTCTGAATAAGCTATAAAAACCATTGAATTGTATAATACTTTCAGTGGGTGAATTGTATGGTATGAGAATTATATCCAGCAAAGCTGTGTAAAATATCACCTGTGGAACTTTGTGAAAATACAGATGGTGAAACTCCAGCTTTGACTTCTTGAATTTGTTTCACAAGTGATTGAATGTACTCTTGTATAAGAACTATTGAATTACATTAATTTTAAATCTTTCAAGAAGAGTCTCTGTGATAGTAATGCTTTCTCTGATATAAAATATGTTGCTCTTATAGAGAATGCAGGGTATAATAGATATCATATTTAATTACTGTGAATTCTCTATTGCATATAATTTTTTTTAATCACCAGGTTATTGCTTAGAATATGCTACCATATTGGATAAAGAAGCTAAACCATACAAAGTTGATCCTTTTGTAATTATGATTAAGTTTCTATTGGGGTAAGTTTTATTAAATGATTGTGATTTTATATGTAAAACATGTTTGGTTCCATAATGCAATAAATTTTCATACAAATTTGGCAATTAACTTGTTTCGTTAAATGGGATCATTTTCTCTTAGGCAAAAGCCTAATAAGTATATCAACATTTATTTTAATAGTATGATAATTTCAAAAGTAATTGTAGAATTTATGTATATCAATCTAAACTTAAACTGGAGCTGGTCATAGTAGTTCATGCCTGTAATCTGTAATCCCAGCTACTTAAGAGGCTGAGGCAGGAGGATCACTTGAGGCCAGGAGTTTGACAGCAGCCTGGGAAAGATAGTGAGACCCCCATCTCTTAAAATAAAATAAACTTAGACTGTAAATTTACCAGGCCTTTATCATTTTCAAATAGATATTTATGGTCTGTGATCTTTGAGTATCCTAGCTTCAGACTCAAATCATTATAGGGTATTGATGAAACAGTACCTCTAATCACTTTCTCTTGCTTCTCATGCAAATTATATTTTAGACCTCTCTACCCTAGTTAACAGTTCATTCTTAATTTATTCACATTATGTGTGTTTTGGTTAAGAACCATTACTTAGATCTTCCATCATTACGACAAACTGCACTGTTGGATTTATGAAAAAAAGAAAAAACAAAAACACACATTACGTCATACAAGGGTCAATAGAGAGTGGTAAAACTATTGGGACTGAGGACTCAGATCTTTGAAGATCAGTAGGCTTACTTGGAAGATAAATGACTTGTTTCATAGAAAGAATTAAATTTTTTTTAGTACAACTGTAAATTAAGCATCATGGAACTTTAGGGACTCTAGTGAATGCTCAGATACCGCAAATGTTAAATTCTTGTGTGTCAGTTGTTGGGGTTTTTTTGTTTTTGTTTTTTTGCTTTTATTTTATGCTTTCTTCTGTCCCTAGGTATAAATGGTTTAAAGAACTGTGGGACACATTACTGCTACCAGAATTAGATGCCATCGTTTTAACTAGTCAGAGCATGTGTTTCCCCCTTGTATCCTTGATTCTCTTTCTCTTTGGAACATGTACTGCCTACTGGAGTGACCTGTTCTCCTCTGCATCTGTGCGACTCCTTTCTTCATTGTGGCTAGCTTTGAAAAGGTAAAGAATGAATAATTAAAAGCTTTCTTATTGCTCTTTAGTTAAAAAAAAACAATTATATTGTGATAGAGAACCTTAAAATTAATTCTTTTTACTAAATTATTTTCTAAGGAAAATTGTATAACTAGCAAAAGTATGGGTTAGTGTTCACAGTTATGTCTTTGTCAAAGCTAATCATCTGTTACATGTTAAATGCTACATTTGATTTTGACCTTAGTGCCCAAGAGTTAATCAAAAGTTTGACAAATTACACAGGTATTTTTTAATTTGACAGTTGTGAATCTTTCCCAGGAGGATTGTTTCTCTGGCAGTGCTTTTATGTGTTGAATTCTATAATCGAACCTGAGGTCAAAAGACTCCAATCAATATATTTAGCATTAGATTGGATGAGAACTATAAAAGCTTCAAATATGTTGCCTAGAGTTTTATTATAGGCCAAAAGACATAGTTTGAATCTGAAGTTACTGATAGGCTTTCCTAGTAAATCAATCTAGTTTCCATTGCCACTCCTCCTTACTAGGCATGTTATGTAATTTCCTGTCACAGAAGGATTATGATGTGGTGCTTCTCCTTCCACACTTCTGAGAACTTCAGACAAGGGTTTCTGATAGTAATGCCATCAAGCATCTGAGTGATCTTGAGGCTTTAAGAAACAAAAACCAGAAAATTGTTTCTCCTTCAGTGGAGATTATAGATGTATGATGCAGGGTCTGTAATTAATGGTTATCTTTGGCAACATTTTTTTCTTCCTTAGTATACAAGTATTAGCCATAGTGTATCTAAATGGAAGAGGAGCTACCACAGTGTATTGTAGAACTTAAAATCAAATATTTGGGGCCACTTCCCTTATTAAAAAAATACCTTACCATTTACCTTATTTTATTTGCATATTAATAATGAGGAGAGTCTGGGAGAGTACTATATCATTTTCTTCTTATATGTGACTGTATTAATATATCTTAATATATTTTTTAAACTTTATTCTTGTAATTCCAGGCCCTCTGAACTTCCTAAAGATATCAAAATGATATCACCAGACTTGCCCTTTTTGACAATTGTTTTGATCATAGTTAGTTGGACAACTTGTGGAGCACTTGCCATACTTCTTTCTTATCTTTACTATGTGTTTAAGGTACGTCAAATCAGTAAAGCCAAAATGATTGAGCTTTTTATTAGACAGGCATAGAATGTCCTGTAGGCATTATATACAAAAATTTTAATTACCACTATAGTAACCTTCTTTTATGTAACATGTTTAAATGTAAAGGTTTTTTAAACATCTTAGTTATTTAAATTATATGCAGTGAACTATAGAACTGAATTTATTGATGTAAATTGGGAGGTTTTTTGTTTAAAAAAATAAAAGGAAAGGAGAAGACATAATCTATTTCAGGTTGTTTCTTGTTCTTGCAAGCGCTTTTTTTTTTTGACATTTTACTGGAGCAGTTTTTATTTATACCTCTTGTTGAACATGGATGTGAGACAAAACAAAAGCTATGTGAGAGGAATCAGGCTTATCAGTCATGCTGAGAATAATGTAAAATGTTGCTTGCTGAAGAAGCAGAAGACAATAATAAAAATAATTGAGCTAATAATTTTACTAAAGAACCACAAACTGCTGAGAAGGCTGACAGCTTTGCAGAAAAATTCAGGAGATTATACAAGTGCATGTTCTTCACATTAATCTTATGGACAGATAGCTAACATCAGAGTGGATAATACCTGTTTTTTCCTTTTTTAAACAAGGTAAATTTGCCTCTGCTTTTAATGCTAATACATGCACATTATAGATTATTTTCCCTTTTCAAAGGAAATTTTTATATGCATCTGAAAAAATTATTTAGGGTTACTTTGATTTGTGAGTAACAATATTAGTATTTTTTAAATTAGGTATTTCAGGCTGGGTACAGTGGCTCACACCTGTAATCCTAGCACTCTGGGAGGCTGAGACAGGCAGATCGTTCAAGGTCAGAAGATCGAAACCAGCCTGAGCAAGAGCAAAACCCTGTCTCTACTAAAAATAGAAAGAAATTAATTGCCAACTAAAAATATATAGAAAAAATTAGCCTGGCATGGTGGTACATACCTGTAGTCCCAGATACTTGGGAGGCTGAGGCAAAAGGATCGTTTGAGCCCAGGAGTTTGAGGTTGCTGTGAGCTAGGCTGATGCCACAGCACCCTAGCCCAGGCAACAGAGTGAGACTCTGTCTCAAAAAAAAAAAAAAAAAAAAAAATTAGGTATTTCAAACAAATGACCCAATAAACAAAACTTTCTCAAATACTTAATTTAAGGAAACCTAACAAATTTACAGATTTTCTTATGTTATTATAAACATTTCACTCTTCTATATAATTGAGTTTAGATTTTCAGAGATTTGAAGTACATTAAATATGTTAAATTCTTTTACTATATTGAATAGTAATCAAATCTTTGGTTCACAAGACACGTTAAGACATCATTCTAACATAGACTTTTACAGGATGTAAAAGGTATAGCAATATATCCTGGCCCCAACATACTCTGGAAGTTTGTATTGTTTTCCATTTCTGTTTTTTTAATCCACGATAGTAGCAAGCATGTGTAGTTATTTGTTTTCTAAAAGAATGTTTTTAGATATTTAAATGAATTTTTGGTTGTTTAAGATTTAAAAATTTTCAGATTACAATGCTTCTGAGTTTTAATGAGAAAGGCCTATACTCTTTGCTTCAAAATAAAATAATTATTTTTTCCCCTAAGATTGTTCATCTGCAAGCCAGTCTAACAACTTTTAAAAATAGCCAGCCTGTGGTAAGTTTTATTTTTAATACTCTACGTAACTTTAATATGAAAGAACATGGAAAAATATAAGAGTTTGTTTCTTAAAAAGGTTAGAATTTTAAAGTATTTAAAAGGTATAGTATTATGAATTTAAGTCACTTTAAGAAAAGTGACCCTAATGGGTATTAAAATAGACTTAAGTTCTAAATTTGATCTTTGTCAGTACCTGTGCCCTTTTCATTGTTACAAATGATTATCTTTTAAATTTTATTTTGAATAATTACTTAGAGGATATATTCTCTGTGGAAATAGCAAGTCAAAAGAACAAAAGTTTTGTAACTAGTATTTTAAAGTGCTTTTAAACAAGGTAATTTCAGTATTTTATGTCAGTTTGGTAATGGAAAGATGTATGTATTTAGCTGGTAAGTGATTTAGTATGATTCTTAATAAAATATTATCTTAAACTTATTTTGGTTTACTTAGTATCTTGGTATTTTTATTTTATTGCTTTATAGAATCCCAAACACTCTAGAAGAAGTGAAAAAAAATCCAATCACCATAAAGACTCAATAGCACACCATCTTCGTTTATCTGCTAATGATGCTGAAGATAGTCTTCGAATGCACAGTACTGTGATTAATTTATTAACATGGATTGTATTACTCAGCATGCCATCTCTAATTTATTGGTTAAAGAACCTTAGGTGTGTTTTATTTATATAATTATTATTTATGTGGTTTAAACAATAAATATCACTATAGAGACTTACTAGATTCCTAATGGTCCATGAAAATTTTTCAAGAACAGGAAGCTGTATATTACTTGAAATTTATTTTTAATACATTCACATTTGCTCCCTTAGTTTTCAAACATAAAATATGAGAACATAAACTTCCCCCAAACTTGGCCAAAAAGAGTGAATTGTATTTTTATTTATTGGCAAATTGCTAAATAAAAGGCCACCTCATCCAAACAGTAGTTGAACCCCTAATCAGCATAGTTTTCAAAAATGATATAAAACTTTCAGATTATCTAAATACTAGAAGTTTTTTATTTTTTTAAGTTCACAGAACCAAAATAAGTTCAATAAATTAAATCAAAGGTTACCAGGTGTTACTGTCCTTCCTTTGTCCCTCATTGTAGTCAAGATCCAAATTTTTGTTCTCAGATTTGTAGTCAGAATTATTTGAGGAGCATCCTTTATGATTCCAAAAGGCCATAGACATCTTATTGTCAATAAATGCAAGAGACAAATTGGATTTTTAAAAAGATAAGGGGTGGTTATTTTAATGTAAACCTTCATTTTATCTTTTGTTATAGAGTAGCATTAACATATTTTAAATAATTTGTTTCTTAAAAACTTTATATATGTCCTTTTAGACATATACCTATTATAGCAAGGAAATACTTTCATCCTGGGTATTTTAATTTCCTTTAGTAGTTTCTGGCATAATTTTCTGTATAAAGATGATCTAGAACAAAAAATACTTATCAATGATCTTTTGAGCTGTTTAGAGCTCTCTTATGTCTATATTGCTACTGGAATATTTTAACAATTATTTAATTTGGTTGATTCTGATAATTTAAAATGATCGGGTCTGCTTTGTTGATTTATGTTTTATTTTTTCTTTTTATTATAGGTATTATTTTAAACTTAGTCCTGATCCATGTAAACCTTTGGCCTTTATCCTTATTCCAACTATGGCAATTCTTGGAAATACTTATACTGTTTCAATAAAATCAAGGTATTGTAGTTTAATCTTTCTTTTTCTCACATTTATTCCTGGCCTTTACCACCCTTCATTTTGTGTCTGAAACATATTCTTTATTCTTAATTAATTTGACTGTTCCTAAAAGTAAAGCCATAACAGTATTATGGTTTATATGCAAGTATATTATACTTATTTTCTTAATTAATAGGTTTAACTTACTAGGATATACATAATATTAGGTTTTTTTCCTTAAAAAGTTAACCCTTAAAAGATATGATGCTTAAGATTTGCTTCCAAAAAGTATGGGAGAAGTGGATGGGATGTAAGTGAAATAAGTTTGGCCATGATTTGATGATTTTTGAGGCTAAATAAGGGTGCATGATACTGTTAGTCTAATTTTGTATGTGTTTGAAATTCTCCATAATAAAACTTGACTTTTTATTACGGTTTTTTGCTCTGGAAGCCTTTTCAGATGATTCTAGTAGATGTTTGCAGATGCCATTTAATAGTTCTGTGCCCTTATGCAGGTTTCTTATGCCCTCCTCAGTTTCTCTACTTTCAGAATTAAAAGGTGATGGTCTTTCCCGATAGTATTTTTCTTTTTTTTTTTTTTTTTTTTTGAGACAGAGTCTCGCTTTCTTGCCTAGGCTAGAGTGAGTGCCGTGGCGTCAGCCTAGCTCACAGCAACCTCAAACTCCTGGCCTCAAGCGATCCTGCTGCCTCAGCCTCCCAAGTAGCTGGGACTACAGGCACGAGCCACCATGCCCGGCTGATTTTTATATTATATATATTAGTTGGCCAATTAATTTCTTTCTATTTTTATGGTAGAGACGGGGTCTCGCTCAGGCTGGTTTTGAACTCCTGACCTTGAGCAATCCGCCCGCCTCGGCCTCCCAGAGTGCTAGGATTACAGGCGTGAGCCACCGCGCCTGGCCAGTATTTTTCTTTTAAAAATATTTAGTGTTTTATCTTATATGCTCCTTTTGTTGGGAATTTAAGGTGGTTATTTTTTTGTTTGTTTTTTTGCTATTATAAGTAGGGTTAAAATAAACATTTCTGTAGCTATGCCTTAGTGAATATTATTGATTATTTTTGTAAGGATAAATTTCTAGAAGTAGAATTACTGAATCAAAGTCCAACTAGTATTTTTCTGTTGTTAAAATTTGAAAGGCTAAACATAACTGGTTATTTTCTAAATAGAAATATTTTTCCCTTTGCTAGCCAAAATCTGACTTGTATTAATCTTTTAAAAAATTATGGACAGGTAAATTTATTACATAAAAAATAACTTCATTCAAAATCACTTAGAACATTTATCTTTCCCAAAACTGTAAAGATTGGCATATTCCATTTTAGTTCACAATGTAGTTTATATAATGTGTATTTCTCTGTCTCTTTACAGTAAATTGTTGAAGACTGCTTCACAGTTTCCACTTCCTCTCGCTGTTGGCGTGATTGCTTTTGGATCAACACACTTATATAGGGTTCCGTGCTTTGTCTTCATTCCTCTTTTACTCCACGCATTATGCAACTTTATGTAAGATTGGACTTACAGAATGATAAAGATAATTGATGCCTTTAAGGCCAATAATAAGAGGGAACACATAAATTCATCAACATGGACAGCAAGGTCCTTTGGAGAAGACAAGTCTATTTTTACAGTATTGAAAATAGGAAATTAGTTTTGTAATGCTTGAGGAAAGTAGTTGAAGCACGGATTTGTTTTGTGGTGTGGAATCTATGTACTAATCATTTTCAAAAAATTAGTAAAGGGATATATGGTGGCCACTAATGTTTGAGGAATCCTGTGCATATCAATTAGTCTGCTTCATCAACCATACCAGAGATCCTCTCTTAGAGATATAGTCGATGCAGCATTGTTTGTAATTTCACCTCAAGTATTCTTGTTTCGTTTTCCTGAAAGTGAGTTATTTTGAATTTGCTGTAGTTTATATATTGAGAACTAAGTCTTAAAGATTGATAAAATTTACAACTGTTTTGTCTCAAAAGTGAAATAGCCACTCAGAATCTTTAGTCAGTTTTTGGCAGCCATGATGAATGGAGTAGATCTTTTGTCTTCTTACATCTATGAAAACAGAGCTTTGAATTGTAAGGGGGCATGTTTTCTCAGTAACCAGGGCAAGACTGATAGATGGAAACATGATTCAAACTTAAAATTTAATGAAATTTTCTTCTTTTCAAATATGAATTTTATTATGTATTCTTAGTGAATATCAGAAGACTATTAAAGAAATCAATTGTTACATTTAAAGAAAATGCTCATACATATTTACTTCCTGGCACTGGAACAGTTCAAGTCTTCCATCTATACCATTTTATTTAATTCATTGCCCCCATGGTTGCCAAAAGTGCCTCAGGTCATGATGTATTAACTAAATTCAAGTGGTTGGAAACAACTCTAGGTTTACACCACTTTTGTCCGCTGTGGGAAAAAAAAATCAGCACGATCACGTGTAGTACCATATTTGATGTATGATATTATACTGTTAATAGAATAACAGTAGACACTGTTACCCCATTAATAGCATAAGTATTAATACACCACCTGAATAAATTGGAGACTTCAGCTACTAGGTTTAACAGTGGAATCTCGATAGGTCCAGGTGACTTCTAGGATTACTGTTTTACAAATAAAAGAGTAATCTTTCTAATTTATTTCAGCTTTCACTTCACTCTTAGCTACAAGAGTAGAAAGAAGGTAATGGAGCAAGGTAGACGAGTGTACTCTTTGTCTTAAGATAGAGTAAACTCAGGCTGAGATATACCTGGCTCAGAGTCCTTCTTTTAGATACGTATACTGTAAATACCCAAAACTTCTCAAGTAAAGTCCTTAAATCCCATTGATGGCACAGTTGCACTTGTGAACTTGTATCCTTGTTAGTGCCCAGGGATGTCCTAGAGTACTGGTTTCATTTTATCTGCTATCGCATTTGGTTTCCATTACAGCCTTGCAGCTGTTACAGCTTATAGAAGTTTACTACCATTTTACTGCATATAGAGAGTTACTTCTCGTAGTTCTTCCCCAGGTGCTTGCTATTTCTGCATCAGTTGAAGAGGGTCTTGCTATCACCTCTGAGGGTATTAAGTTTGTTTGATTCCATGGTTGTCTTTTCTAACTTCGTGCCTATTGTTCAGTATTCATGTTTTCACTTACTGAAACCATTCAAGGAAAGTGATAACCTCATAGTAGACATGAAAGACATACTAGGCTCTTGTTTCTTTGAGATAAGTAGCAAAAGGGATAAAATACAAAACACTCATGTGTTTCAGTTGAGAGGAAAGAGGGAGAATTTATTAGGTTATACACTCATCCCATGGCATACCATATATATATTTAAATAGGGACACATCTGCCTATGTTTGGCTATACATATACGTTTGCACACAAGGTATTATTTTTTGCTGCTGTTACTATAATGTATCTCAAGTTACAGATTAAATATATCATTTAACTATTTCTGAATTTAAACTTAGGTCCACATACAGAAAGAACTTTAGAAAATTTATTAATTTGGATCTTCTCTTCACAGCCATAATCATTATGTTTATGTGATCTAAAGTCTCCTTGTTTAGTCAGTGCTGCTCATGAATAAAATATAACAAGCTTAAATTTCTTATTTTTGAGTAATACATTTGCTTTTTAAAGCAGCTGACTTAGGCACACTAATTCTCACTAAAATATTTACATGTGAGTGTATTTATCACTAAGTCCTAAAATCTTATTTTGCTAACAAAATATTTCATTGTAAGGACTACAAAATGATTCTAATTAGACATTTTATAAACAATAGGTTGGGCCTTTAGCCATTATATACACACACACACATATATATACACAGAAACAGATATATGTACACTTACATTTTGATGAAATCTTCAAGTCCTAATTTAAGTCAGATAGTTGCCAGAGGTGAGAAGGTAGGCTTTGTGCAAAGATTAGCAATATTGATGTTTCTATCACTTGAGAAAAGGGAAGTTCTTTTCCTTTAAAGCACACACAGTTTCTATCATGCTTACAACCTATATTTTAGCTGGTAAAACAGCATAGCCCACTTAGCAATGTTACTAAAAACAAAAGTGTTTATTGGCAGTTAGAGATTATCTAATTAAGCAAATTTCTGCACCCCACTGTTATGGCATTTTTATTTAGAAATTGTTGCTTATAAAATAATTCCTAGACCTTACTGTTGATAACTAGATCAAATATAGACTAGACAGGGAAAAATACTGAGTACTTTTAGTGCTTCTAAAGTCTCCTCTGGAGTTATTGCTGTTGCAATTTGCAATTGATAGTATAATAGAAATTGTTAACACTCTTTTTTCTGTATATTTTTCATGCCAGAAATTAAACAGCTTCTGCTCTTTCTTAGTTATCACCAGAATGAAAATATTTGAAGTGGTTATTCTAAAAAAGCCATTTGTGGCTGGTTAACATTGATTTTGAGTTTCTTCAATATATATTGATCATGCATTGATCTTTTTTTTCATATTTTCGTCAGATAAATTCAGATGTATATAATGGAATACCTTTTCTTGAGTGAACTATATAGTTCTAATATCTACATGATTATACATTAAGGAAAAAGAAATCAAAACTGTAATAAGCCTAGTAAATGTTTTTCTTAATTATCTTACCACTCATGTAGATACTATACATTTCCACAATACACATAAACTTATATGAGGCAAATTATTTGTTTTGTTTATTATCTAGTTCCTATATTTTTCTTAACTCTTCAGACTTCTCATTTAATATGGTGTATTTATTTCACTTTGCTGCTTTTTAGTACCTCTTATGAAGGTGGTCAAGGGAAATAAAAGGAAGTAAAACTCAATTTTCAGTTTAGTTCTTGAGAGCTCTAGGAAAAATGGGGCAACATCAATTTTACTAGATAAACTTAAGGCTATGGATTCCTGAACCCCAGATAAATCAGTCAGCCTGTATTTTCATTTTAAGCTATAGGTCCAAATTAGTGTAATGTCTTCTATTATTATTAGGCTTAGTGCAAAACTTCAATACATTTGAAATTTTAGCAACTGATTTTATTAAAATCATTTGGGAAAAATTTTTTTAATGTGTTAGGACCTTTCTTTTTCATCATCACTTTTTGTTTTCTCATTGCATAGGAATTGTGAATTTGTATATCTTAGGAGACAAGATGCTTTGTGAAATTTATTGGGGAAAATCAATTTGGAGAGCATGATACTCTCTAAGATAAGGAGGCAATTAAATTATTGTATTATGAAATTAGACACTGCCAGAAAACTTCCTCATCTAATAAGGTAAATGTAGAACAACATACTTTATAAAAATGGTAAGATGATTGGGAGCTGAAATTTTATCCTAGCCTTTTTGAACAAAAAACATTTCATATTCAGTAACGAACTTTATTATTTATACACACTACTCATGCATTCTTTATTGTTGTTGTTGTTGTTTTTTTTTTTTTTGAGACAGAGTCTCACTCTGTTGCCTGGGCTAGAGTGCCATGGTGTCAGCCTAGCTCACAGCAGCCTCAAACTCCTGGGCTCAAGCAATCCTTTGCCTCAGCCCAAGTAGTTGGGACTACAGGTGTGCGTCACCATTCCTGGCTAATTTTTTTTTATATATATTTTTAGTTGTCCAAATAATTTCTTTCTATTTTTAGGAGAGACGGGTCTCACTCTTGCTCAGGCTGGTCTTGAACTCCTGAGCTCAAATGATCGGCCTACCTCGGCCTTCCAGAGTGCTAGGATTACAGGCGTACTCATGCATTCTTTTTTTTTTTTTTATCTTTTTGTATTTTTCTTCGGCACACACTCTTAACATGCATTCTTTCACAATAAGTTTTAATAGCCTGAGGAAATAGGAAAGCTGTGAGGCAACTCACATTCTTTACTTTTCATAAGGAATAATAGGAAAGAAAGGTCAGTAATCCAAATCCAAATGTGTGTACTATAAATGTTTTAGAATTCACATTCTTTTATAAGTTATATTACAAATCCAGGAGACTGAATTTTATCTGTTAATAACTTAGTTTTGAGAACAGACTTAAATTTGGAAATTGTAAGAATAGACAAGCTGTTATTCCATTAATAGGGTAAATGTAACATCTAAACCATATAAATGTATGCCTAAATTAATAAGATAACATGTCTTTCAAAAGTTTGGTGATCTTCTAAGCTATATCTTGATTAAATTGTCTATGGTTGATAATTTTTAAATAAAGTACAGTACTTTCTGAAAGTGTTTGGCATGTTACACTGCCAAAGATGTTTGTGTTTTGAAACACTAAGTAACCAGTTAATTTCTAATGACTTCATATAAGACTTGATATATATGAGTCAAAACAATCTGTACTCATTCTGTACATTGTAACTTTAAAACACTGAAAAACTGTAAAACTGTATCTGTTGGTGTATGAAAAACTATATCTATTGGTGTATTTTGATTAGTTGGTGTAAGTTTGTTTGCATATTTGAATTCTAATTTAATTTAGCAAATCTAAAAGTAACCATTTTTGTAAGTTCATATGCTATTTTTTAATGTTATTTTGGTTTTTAGTATTTATATAGCATTAATGTTACTAGTAAAAAATGTTTATAGACAAAGTATAGAGCTATTAACTGTTCAAAAGCCTAAATGATAGGCATATTTTGTATTTCATGTTGCACTTGTTCTGTTTCATATTGGACTTTTTACATCCCTTTTTTAGGGAAAAAAAGACACATTTGAATTCTTTTTAACATAAAGCTCTGCATTGGAAACTATATAACTGTATCCGTATGGTTAGCAAAACATACTTTGCCACCAAAGTAAATGAACTGTAAAAATACCTCTGGATATTTGTGCCAATGAACTTTTCTTAGCATATTGGAATTAAAGCAAAAATAATCTTTCAGTATCTTTCATCTAAGATTTATGATAAATGTGTAAATCATGAAAACTTATACTCCTTACACTAATTTTTCTTTGAAAATATTCAGTTTATAGCGTAGTGTGTTTTGTTTTGTCTGAATTTTTTAGTGCTTTCTGATTTTACTGGGTAAAAGTTCACCCAGTAATCTTTCAGCAATTAATTGAAGTAATCATTTGAAGTAATCTTGCTTCAGATTCATTTTGTGATGTAAATGAATTTTTGTTGTATAAGCCATTTTAGTGCAGGTGTCTCATTTATGTAATTGAAAGTTTACTATGGAATTTTTTTTTCTTTATATTTTCATTCAGTCCTTTTAGAGAGTCACATATTTCACAGGGGAAAATTATCCACTAGAATCTGACATAGTACCATGAAGTAAACCTTTTAAAATGCATATATTAAAGAAAAATATTATAAAACAAGATATTAATACTAAAACGTTAATAATGTAGCATTTTCATGGAAAAAAGTAGATAAATGATAGACTCACAAACTGCTGTTATCTGCTTCAAATACTTTAATTTCTTCCCATAGAAATGCTAAGAAATTTCAGTCCCTCAATTATAGTTCTTCCAATCATTTAATAACACTTAACTGTTTCTCTGCCCAGTAATGTTGATGCAGTTTGCATAAGTAGCTTTGGAAGTGAAGAAGCAGCACAGAGAGCCAAATATTGACATGTTTGGCCTTGATTTAGTGACAGTTTATCCTGTTATCAAGTAGGGACTATGTGTGATATTAGTAAAAAGATTATGTACAAGACCTAAATTCAGTGTACATTGTTCTTTAGAATGAGTTTGTCCTCTGTGTTGAATAGTTTTATCCTAAGTGGGAGATGCCTGTGTTTAACATAATCATGCTTTCTGTATTATCAAGTATGTACTTGTTGGAATACTGGTAGAAATAACCTTCCCCTCCTCCATTGTGGAGTGGGAAAACGCTCCAGTTTTTAGTGTATGTAAATTAGGGCCTAGTATTATGTATTTACATTTTTAAAAATATAAAAATGACTTAAATATATTATTTTGAAGTGATTGTACTACAGTTTCTTAAACTTATGACTATTAATGTACCAATGTACCCATGAGAAACCAGACCAAAATTGAATATATATCATCACTGTGACCTTGAACTTATAGTCATTTGGGATAAAACAGACTGTGCCTTAAAATGATAAAGGAATGCCCTGCAATTTTATAACTGTATATTTTCTTATGGGTGATCTTGTCAAATTAGCCCCAATCCTTTTCTTTGAGGTTGGTGAAATACTTTAAAATAAATATTGACCAGTATTTCCCTTAGTATTTGCAGAACTATTGCTCTAGAGGCATCCCTTAATTTACAGAGTTCCCATTTCAATTAGAATTGATTTACACTACAAAGATGTAAAAAATTAAGTTTTATTAAAGTTTCTGAAAAAATATTCTAGGAGAAAGTGGTGGCACTACTGTTCTGAACTTATTACACATGGAAAAACTAACCTTCAAAGGTAATTTTTTGTCTTATTAATGAATAATATATCAAAGACATGAATTCTTCCCGAAGACCTGTGCTCGTTTTGTCTCAGATTAGCGAGGCTTGTATTTGTATATATCAAATAAAGTTAATTGACCCAATAATAATTTTTCAGTAATTAATAAACTCAGATTCATGTAGTATATTTTCTAACATGATTTCCCCCTATTCTGTTTCTCTTTTTTCTCCCTAATTATTTTTAAGGTATCAAGAGAGAACTGGCTCCAATTTTTTAAAAAATGTTAAAAACTTACATTTTTATTGTGCTTATTTAAAATACTGGATATAATTTCTGTTAAAGTCTAAATTCTATTCACAGGACAATCATGGTCTTTGCTAAAAGATGCCCACATTTCTGTAGATTCAGAGTTTGTATATTTTTCAATTTCAATTTTGAACATAAACACAACACATTTGTTCCCTATTTTAGCTCTAGTAACTCCCCCTAAAAGACAAAAATATATAGGTTTCTTTAAAAATGTCTTTTCTTAAAACATGGTCAAGTTGACATGAAAGTAGTTTGGAATGTAATAAAATAAAACAAATGGCTCTCAACTTGCATCAATTTTTATACTATAGTTAAAATGTATAGAAGACAAACTATGTGTTATGCTGAGATAGTAAGGATAGTATCATTTATTTGCAAATTGATAATTTTGTTCTCATCCAGAAAGTACAATGCAAAGTAACAGTACTTAACAGTGCAAAGAAACTTGTCCTGTAGTATATACTGAACAATGATTGTCACTTCGCAGATTTTTCCATTTAAACATGCATGATCTTCTCCAGTATTTTGTATGATGTATGGTGTATTAAATACACAAATTATGTGTAATTTGTGTGTATTTTTTGTATGGTAATTAACATTATTACATTTAACTGGTTGTAATTCACAAAAAGTGCTACTTATTGCACTCTGTAGAGTGTGTTGTGGATGTTTATACCTGTGTTTCAGCATTACGGTGTAGGTTTAATAGATAAATATTTGCCTTCAGTCTCTGCTCAGGTATTAGCAATTTTCGGTGCTTTCTTTTTAATCTGTCATAATCTGGTGTTCTGAATGTTCAAAAATAAATTTGGTGAATAAGCACATGCAGTACAACAATTGCTTACCAGTTCACATACTCTCCACACTACCATCTTGAAAAAAAAACTCTTTAAAAATGATTTCTTTCCAGTATGTCTAGCATTTCAGAAATTAGAATACTTAAGCATGGGACAGGACACATCACAGATAAACATTGGAAGCAAGATAAATTCTAGTATTTTCCAACTTTGTATTTTGTACCTTCCCACATGGATTTTTATGGACATTTTATGGCTCACATTCCATTTTAAGGAATTGTACGGTTATTTTTCTCCCAGAGACCATGCTATCTACTTTCCTTATGCTAACTTGTATTCCTGGGTACCCAGTTTCCCAGTTTAGTAAGAATGAGAATGATTTAGACATTGTAAACAGATTTCCAGGTCACCCCAGAGATTTGATCTTTAGGAGAGAGGCCTGTGATTCTGTTTTAACGAGTGCCCCAAAAGTAATTCTCAAACAGGTTTAGTGAACACTGCCTTAGTCAGTAAAATTAATCTACTAGGACTCCTAGAAACAACTAGAAAGACTCTTTAAGATTACAAGGTGCCAAAGAAACACTGAATAATTTCAGAGTTTAGTGCAGATTCAAACTTTATTATAGAATGGATAGGAGTGGTAAAATGGGATAGGATATATTTTGAGGGCTTAGTATCTTCTAAACGTTTAACCAGCACTCCTAAATATGTGAACATTTATGAATTATCTACCTGAACTAACATTGTGTATATTATTAAATATACTGAAAGAATTAAGTTTTTAAGGCTAAGAAACATATAACTAGAAACTTTAATATTTTCTTTGAATACCTAGAAGTTTTATCTTGAATGAAACCACTTCAATTTGGAATCCACTGAATATATAACATGAAAACCTCATAGGCCTTTCCCACCAGTTTTTCCAATTCCATTTTCATCTTCACTCCCT